CAAAGCTGTTCTGGATGTTTTAGGAACTCTATCATTTCCAGATTTGACCAGCCTTCCTCCTCCCCCCTTTTTAATTGCATCATTTAAAGGCAAATACCAGGGTTTTTGTAATAGCACCTATATGAGCATGGAGTGGCAATAAAATATATACGGAGCAGTTAGAAAAACATGCCATTTCAGCCATAACGTGTGACTAATTGATTTCTGAGCATTGCCTAATTGTGGGACACTGGTTAACTAAACAACAATGCATTTTTTTCACTGGCTCTGATATTAGCTCAGACTGTTTTGTGACTTTCCCCTCCTGAGAGACATGCCATTTTTTTCACTGGCTCTGATATTAGCTCAGACCGTTTTTTGACTTTCCCCTCCTAAGAGACATGTTGTATTCTTAACCCTAAATCTAGGTGGGACGCTGACAGGGAGAGGGACTCTTGCTTAGTTTTCAAATTTTTAGTCTGAACATTCTGCTGGGTGTTATTTATAGAGCACAATATATTTTACGGACAGGTGCATCTTGGCGATCCAACTGCTGACTCCTTTATTTATTTAAACACATAAATAGGTTTTGAATTGTGAGTCCTTACGCGTATCATTTTTGGCTCTGGTTTAGTAGTGATGCATTGTGCATTGGAGAGAGAAAAATCGTTTGAAAAACTTGTAAATATGATGCTCTTCCAGGAGCCACTAATGAAAGAAATTCTACCGGTGGTCAAAATATCTCTTCTTCCATCCCCATAACATGGATCACCCGAACTGAGTCACATATTCAAGAGGGGCCAGTTATAAGGATTTGGAGACATTATCACTTTAGAGGAGGGTCTGATGAATTTCAGAACAAACACGCTTAGCCCTGTGGGTCTAGACCATAGGCTCCCAAACTGGGGGGCGTGCCCCCCTGGGGGAACATGAAGAAATTCCCGGGGAAGGGGGCGCGAGGCAGCCCAGCCTCCCCCCGCCATCAAGTTTTGCTGTGCTGCTCAGTTCCTTTTTTTTTTTTTTTTTTTTTTAACAC